AAAAGCGTCCACGCTTCGAGACCGTTCCGAGAGATGATCGCTCGTCCAAAAATCAGCCGAAACGAGTGGAAAACGGCCGAGATCGGAGCCTTTGAAGTTGGGAATTTCGCTCTCTTGTGCTTCCCTGAGATGATCCGTCCAAAAATCAGCCGAAACGAGTGGAAAACGGCCGAGATCGGAGCCTTTGAAGTTGGGAATTTCGCTCTCTTGTGCTGCCCTGGTGAAGACCTCGGGCTCCGCGAAGATGCCCAAGGTCTCGGCGACGGAGTCGCCGATGGACCGCGTGAACGCCGTGCCCGGCGTCTCCAGCGAGTCGTCCCAGACGCGCGGCGGGTCGCCGACGTCGTCGACCTCCTCGCCGAGCTTCACGTCCCACGACTCTCCCAGCGGCCGCCGGCCGTGGACCTGGTCGAAGCTCAGGACCCGGGCCCCCTGCTGCTTGACGCGCTCGCGCTCGTCGGACCGGTAGGGCGTGTGGTCGAAGCTCAACGCCTCGCAGCCGACGCCGCCGTCCTCTGTCGCCGTGCCGAGCATCGTCCGCGAATCGCCCACGTTGCTCACGTAGAGCGTGCCCCGGTCGCAGAAGACAGATATCGCCGTCGTGCCGCTGTACATGTCGTCGATGCCCGACGTCGACAGGCGCTCGTTCGTGACGACGTGCGCGTCCCGGAAGGACTCGCGGACCGCGGCCTCGTCGGCGGTGCCGTTGATCTTCAGCGACTGCTGGAGCAGCGCGGGCACGTTGTCCCGCGCGAACTCCGCGCACTCCGTGCCGTGGGGGCCGTGGCCGTCGAAGACGGCGAAGAGGTGCGTGCCCTGGCCGAGCCAGTCCGTCTTTACAAAGTACGCGTCCTGGTTCCGCTTGTCGGGGTCCGACGGGTAGTGGCCGCGCTGGGTCATCGTCGCGAAGTTGAGCAAATAGCCGTTGCCCGCGTCGACGCGCATGGCCTCCGAGGCGACGATGCCCTTCTTGAGCTCGAGCTCGCCCTGGGGCGCGTCCGGGAAGTGGTCCTCGGCGTCCTTCGGCCACTGCGCCGGGAACTGCGCGCGCCGCTCCTCGATGGACGCGTCGGGCCCGAGCCGCGGCGGCGACGGCGCCGGGGCGGGCGGCTTCGCCTTGGGGGCGGCGCTGCTCAGGCCCCCGACGATGGACATGCGCTTGAGGATCGACGGCCGCTGGTTCCCGGACGACATGGTGGCGCGCGCCGGCGGCTAGCCCGGCGCGCTCGCCGCGGCTCACGCGCGCGGCGCGGGCGCCGGCGGGCGGCCGGAACCGCTACGCGGCCGGCCGGACGACGCTGCCCGCGGCGGCACCAAAACGACGCGGGAACTAGGTGGCCATAGGCTGCCCCGCGGAGAGACAACTCGGGCTGGAGTTGTAGAGAGTTGTGTCCTTCACCAACTTGCAGCTCAACATTAGCTTGCGCAATATTACTCGAGGCGAATGAAGCTGAGGAAGACTCTGAGCGCGTGACCGCACGCAATGCCGAGCGCCGATGACGATGCTGCGCACGTCCTGCGCATCGGCGGCATGACCTGCGGCCACTGCGTCGGCGCCGTGACGTCGGCGCTCGAGGGCGTCGCCGGCGTCGCCCGCGCCGACGTCGACCTCGAGCGCGGGCTCGCGACCGTCGCGGCGGCGCCCGGCGCGTCGCTGGCGCTGGCGGACCTCGTCGACGCCGTCGAGGCGTCGGGCTTCGACGCGAGCGACGCCGCGGGCGGCGGCGGCGCGGCGACGACGCAGACGCTCGCCGTCGAGGGCGGCCAGTGCGAGACGTGGGTCCGCGAGGCGCTCGAGGCCGTCGACGGCGTCGAAGCCGTCGACGTGTCGGTGCAGGACGGCACGGCGGCCGTCGCCGGCGCCGCGGACCCGGCCGCGCTCGCCGGGGCCGTCCGCGCGGCCGGCTACCATTTGGCGGGCGACGCGCCGGAGAAGAGCGCCGCCGCCGCGCGCGAAGCCGTCGCGGCGACACCAAAAGACGGCGACGACGCGACCTGGAGCGTCGTCGAGCTGCGCGTCGAGGGCATGACCTGCGCGGCGTGCGCGTCGCGCGTCGCCAAGGCGCTCCGGTCGCTCGGCGTCGACGACATCTCCGTGAACTGCGTCACGGACGTCGCGACGTTCCGCGCCCTCGGCGCGTCGCCGGCGCTCGTGACACGCGCCGTCGCCGCCGTGAAGCAGGCGGGCTACGCGTCGTCGCCGGACACGGCGCGCGTCGAGGCCGAGGGCGAGAAGGCGGCGAGCGACGACCCGCACGTCGCGAAGACGACGCTCGCGACCAAGGGCATGATCTGCCCGAGCTGCCCGCCGCGCATCCAGCGGGCGCTGAAGCGGCTCGACGGCGTGCGGGACGTCACCGTGTTCCTCGTCCTCGACGCCGTCGAGGTGCTCTACGACGCGCGCATCGTCGGACCGCGGCTTCTGGCGCACCGCCTGTCGCAGCTCGGCTACGACGCGAGCGTTCAAGCCGACGACGATGGTGTGGACGTCGCCGGCGAGGAGCGCGCGCGGAAGCTGGCGCGCGTCGCCGAGGTCCGCGCGTTCCGGCGGCGCGCGGCCGTCGCGTTCGCGCTCGCGGCGCCGGTCTTCGTGGTCATGATGCTCGTGATCCCCTACGGCGCGCGCGACGCCGTGCTCGCGCTCCAGTCCAACGCGCTCGCGGGGCGGAGCCGCTACCTCGCCGTCGAGGCGCTCGGGTCGCTGCTGCTCGCGACGCCCGTGCAGTTCGTCCTCGGCTTCCGGTTCTACGTCGGCGCGTTCAACAGCCTGCGCTACGGCACGGCGAACATGGACGTGCTCGTGGCGCTGGGCACGTCGGCGGCCTACTTCTACTCGATCTACGTGCTCTACGAGGTCTCGGGGAACCGGCCGTGCTGCCGCAAGTTCCGACAGTGCAGCGACGGCGGCGGCGGCCACGGCCACCACGGGTCCCACGCGGACGACGCGGACTGCGTCTCGGGCCACCACTTCTTCGAGACGTCGTCGGTGTTGATCGCCTTCGTGCTGCTGGGGAAGTTCATGGAGGCCAAGGCCAAGGGCCGCACGTCCGAGGCGCTCCAGGCGCTGCTGAGCCTCCAGCCGAAGATGGCGACGGTGTCGCACACCATGGACGACGGCGGCGACTACGAGGAGGTCGTCGACGCGGGCAGTCTGAGTCGAGGCGACGTCGTCAAGATCAAGCCCGGCGAGGCCGTGCCCGCGGACGGCGCCGTCGTGAGCGGCGAGTCGAACTGCGACGAGAGCATGCTCACGGGCGAGTCCATGCCCGTGGAGAAGCGGCCCGCCGACGACGACA